CTGGTGCTGATCTGGGCTGATAAAGATTAGCTTTCAGTTTCCATCTTCAATTTTCTTTTTTATCAGGATGAATACAATCGTGGCTCGCAGCAGCTTCTATCCATTTTAGCTCTAAGAATTTGTGGTTCCTTATTATCCCTCATAGACCCCCGTTCTGACAGCCATTTACACTTTACTAATGTGCTCATTTTTTGTTAGTATCACAACTTTTCGGCTATTTTGATTACCCAGATCGACAGATACCCGGAAGGCTGAAAAGGGCTGAAAAAGGCTGAAATGTTGCAATAATCAAAATCAAGATGAGAGCATTAGGCTGAATTTGAGTAATGCAAATAATGTTAATTACTCATATCGTTTTGTTCTTGTCCTGTCTATAATTATTTCTACGGGGAGGAGGTTACAAATAATTTACGTATGAAGTAATAATAATTTATAAACGCGTGACCGCATTAGTTTTAGGTAAACGATCACTAAAGAAAATCAGCTTCAAAATTTCTAAAATGGTCATTAACATGAACGTTTGATAACGCCTGTCATTGAATGTAAGTATCGCGTTCAGAACAGTTGGTCTCCGAGGAAATTTTGTCGGAAATGTTTAAAGGCTACGGATGGCTGAACGTAAAACGCGGGAGATAAAGCATTATATTGCGATAGATGACCTTTTGCCTAAAAAATCAAAAAAAAAAAAAAAAAAAAATGCAACAAAGAACAGGCCTATCGCTTTTTATATCGCAATTTCCATGGCAAATGTTTCTTTCGTGCCAACAGCTCAGATATTTGCAGCCAAGACGCACCTTGGTACGGTCACAGGTTTGTACGACCATCATTCCTTATGTGTTTCTTTAGTAAGAAGAGCGTTCCTCTCTGAGTCTTCCCAAGAACCGCTACTTTGTAGAAGAGACTCCGGTGGGGTTGCTTCCCCTAACATCACAATCTTAATCTCTTCAAGTCAAGGGAAAATCGTTATCCATCGTTCATATCCTCGTAATCTTCACTTTCTGTTTCCTCGTCTTACGTTCATACCTCATTCAGAAACCATCTACCTTGAGTGACTCTCGGGCTTTGTCTTGGGTAAACATTATCATATAAATTAAGGAACAGATCCTCAGGCGCAGAAGGATTTTCGTCGCTGATAGTCCATCAGTAAGTGGACAAATAACAGTTGTAAAGAGATCTCTGTTTCGCAAATTTCTGGTGGGGGACAGACAAAATAAGATATGGAGGTCTTTAGCTCGTAAATATACAAGGGTCGTTCAAAAAGTTCTAAGCCTCATTCAGAAAGAAGAGCCATAGCTGAATATTATTGTTGTGGCAACACACTACGACCTCTTATAAAACTAGAAAAACTAATTCAGATTTCTGTCTTAATTTCTATGCAGGTGAGGCCCATACAAAGGTGAGAAGTGTGTGACAAGTCTAAAAATGGACAAAACAGAGGCCTGAGCAGTTATAAAGTATCTGCAAAAGAAAAATATGACACCCAAAGACATTCTACAGACACATGCTGAGAACACTCCTTTCTATGCGACTGTGAAGAAGTGGAGTGCGGAATTCAAGCGAGTCAGGGACAGCACAGAAGATGACCCTCGGCCAGGTCGTTCAAAAACCCCACCTACTGATGAACCAGTTGATGCCATTCACTGTATGGTTTTCGTTGATAGACGTCTTACTGTCCAGTAGATAGCTAAGTTCATAGGCATTAATTCAGGTTCGGTCCATATTTTTTTAAAAGCTGAGATCATGGGGATAAGCAAGCTGTCTGTAAGAAAGGTCGCAAGAATTTTGACACAAGAGCAGAAGCTGAAAAGAGTTGACATTTCCAGGACATTTCGGAAATCAATTGAGTGTACGTTGCGTTTAAGTATACGAAACAGACGAGAAAAGTAAAGAGCGAAGAGAAATATGGTTAAAGGAGGAAGGGGAACGAAATGAAGAAGAAAAAAAAGAGCGTAGAATAGAATGAAATCGAAAGCAGGATGAATTAATAAAAGGTGATGGTGGAAATAAGGTGATAGGATACGTACCGTAATTGCCCATGTATAATACGCATTTATTTTCTAAAAATAATAAATAAAATCAGGGATGCGTATTATGTACAGCTACAAAAAATCGTTAAAAAATTGCCGTAAAATAAAATAAGAATTATCATAAAACTTAATTAGAATAATATTATTCTATGTTTAAAACCATTTTTTTTTAAAAAATAAGAGTAGGAAACGCATTTCTCCACGCTTTCAGCACAATTTTAGGTGTGCATATTGTGGATGAAGGCGTATTATATATAGGTAATTACTGTAATTATTTTTCATCGGTTCGGTTGTGGTTGTTGATTTTACATATCAACTCTTGTCGTATCGAAAGTAAATATCTTTTATTTTTATACACAAGCCAAACAGTCTTCATTTGGTTCGAGACAAATATTAGTCACTTATCGGTGAGTATATAACCATTGGGTGCCCTTGTCGGATCTTTTCTACAGTGAATGATGTCGGTGCATTCTAATTCCGCCATCTTTTTTTTTTATATTTCTATTTATTTACACTGGATATAACTTCGACTCTCAAATGCGGCGTCACTTCAGAACGCCGGATATCATATCTCTCCACAACTTCCTATCCTTCTGTTATATAGAACATAAATGAATGGAATCGCCCGTTTATGTAAATAAGCGTAGTTAAGCATAGTTGAGGAGAGCTACCATTAGGTCTTAGCCGCACGCTAAGCTTTTAGTGCTTGTCGAATACTCTGCCTTTGGGCAGAGAGTAACCAAAGCGAGGCTATGCCAAAGGGCAGAGTCTTGTCTGGGGAGGTAGACAAACCCGATCTCGTTATTACGAGGTCTACGGGAAATTTTTGCACGGGCCTACGGGCTCGGAAAAACCCACGTTAAACCGGCCTTGTGCCACATCCCGCTCTGTATGGAGCTCGGGTAAATACCGAGTTAACATTAGGTCCATTGCTAAGTGTACCTTCGTGTAATAAATCTTCTATTTCATTACTTATCTACGAGTTTGTTTCCTTTATTTATTTTATCTCTGTTATGTCGAAAACGCGACATCCAACTGTTGGTGACAAGGATTCGAATACAACACCTTCTCTCTAATTAATATTTACCTCTTTCCTTTTCCTTTCAGACCCTGTCCTACGCATTTACAAAAGCTTGTTAAGTAGGTGACTTGCTCTTTCCTTCTGGCTCTCTTGCCTTTGGTATGTCCTGTGGATGTCGAATTTTCCAAGCGTTTTTCCTCATTATGTGTTTCAGAAATTTTTCACTGTCTCTAATTCTAAGTACAAGTGTCTTCTTATTTTTAAAAATCTTGCTACCCACCTGCTCCATTGATGATATTCTTAGGATCCTTCTGTAGAATCATATTCATAAATATTCATCGGATGGTTGAAAGGTCAGTCAAATCATGTGGAGGAAACAATGTTACATAATTCAAAGTATGGTGAGGCAAAAGTAAGTTGAATTATGGCACTTTGTGTCCTCCACATGTTTTGAGTGACTTTTCAACCACCTGATGAGTATTCATGAACATCTTCAAATTTAATAGCTTTGATAACTCAATGACATCCAATAAACCCGCAAAATAAAATAAATCCTACCTTTACCTTGAAAAAGCCTCACGGAGGACGAAATACGTCGGCTAAGAATAGCTTTTCTTCCATTTTTAAAATTATATATATATATATATATATATATATATATATATATATATATATATATATCAATTATGTGGTGCAGTTCAATTTATATTGCAAGGAAACATTCATACAAAAAGTAGATTACTAAAGTTAAATTTTAAAGGTGCATTAACCTACAAATCACTTGATGAATGTTATGATCCTTGTTTTTAAAAATTATAAGCAGTATAAGGTCTTTCTTTAATACGCAAGTACTTTCAACTGTATATTCAGGCATCGAAATAATTTTGTTTTTGGTAAAATTCAGGTAGCATCCAAGACAAAAAATTAAATGCGAATCGAAATATGTTTTCTTTGAAATGTGTTATATGTGTGTGTGTGTGTGTGTGTGTGTGTGTGTGTGTGTGCGCGCGCGTGTAAAAAATATCCGCACTTTCGTCATAACATATGCTTAGGTTTGTCACACTGCTTTCTGCTCATGTGCGTCTATAGTTAGTACTATTGTGGTCTAGTAATCGAAGTATGAGCTTGATCGCACCAGTTTTTTCTTACTGCTATTACAGTGTAAACATGGCCACTCCGCTCGCAGTGCGTACCATGGAGAAACAAAGAGTAATGATCCGAATCTGCAGAGAGCATGCTACCTCATCAATGATGGCTCGCCGGTTCGTCATGAACATCTCTAGAGCTTGCTGAATTTTCTCGTCAGTTGTGGAGGTTAACGGGCATCCCGCCCCTTCGTGCGTCACGCTTGTCCGTCCACTTTTAAACTTCTCGATCATACACATTTCTATTCGGCGGTGCACCGTCGCTGTTTTCTGTTAAAAGCCTCCGACAAATTTCAACTCCTGACACACATTCCGACAAGAGAAAATGGATCATTGCTTTTTGGTTTCTCCTTGGTGAACTCTACTAGGGGAGCGCCATGTTTACAGTTTAACAACAGCAAGAAAAACTGACGCAATCAAGCTCAAACATAGATCACATGACCACCATCTATAACCACGCATGTGCAGAAGGTAGTGGGATAAAGCTAAAGATATTTTATAGCGAAAGTGGCGATAATATTTGACTTACAGATACAGAGAAAAGATTTTAACGTAGGGTATTCGCTAAAATGATACTCTAGTAGGTTCGATCATAACAGAATGCTTCCCATTTGTGTCCTTGTGCCAAATTAAGCTGTGTAAACACTTATAGATATTTTCTTATCAATAAAACGAGAATCATGTTCGCATATATACTTATATGTTCATTTCTATAAGGGAATATTTAACCTAAACATCAGAATTTGGAAGAAATCTCTTCTTGCTCGAAATTCTTGGTTATACTTTTGGAGGAATCTGTTCTTGAGAATGTTTCAGTACTCTCGTTTATCTATCTATCTATCTATCTATCTATCTATCTATCTATCCCTTTTCATCTATCTATCTATCTATCTGTCTGTCTGTCCGCATTACACATATTTTCTTTCTTTCTTTTTACCTGCCTATCTCTTTTTTTTACAATCTTTTACATTATTTTTTCTTTCTTTTACACTCTTTGTTGGTTTGTTTCTATCGTTTTGCCCGCCTGTCCCTTTTTCTTCTTTCTTTCTTTCTTTCTTTCTTTCTTTCTTTTGCATAAAGTGACTTCTTTAATATGTTTCCTTCTTTTACAAAAGGATAACAAAGAGCGTTGGACACTTTAACTACAGTTTAGATTTTGAGTTAAACCAACTGCTTCTGAAAGTTGGGAGAATACAATAAAAATTTAACAATCCGCTGTTGACAGTTAGGTGTAACATAAATGATATATATATATATATATATATATATGAAAAAATAATTAAATAATTAAATACTTAAGTGAAATATAATCTTTATCGTTATTTTTTGTATACAGTGCTCACTAACCCGAGGATAAAGCCCCGTATCTTTTAAGATTACGTTCTTAAAAACCTGATAAGTATTACTAAACGTTTCACGGTAAACTCGAACATAAATGCTTCGAAAGGACAGATAGCCAGAAATATATTCTTTAGCGTCTGCAGATTAATTCTGTCAAAGTATAGACAGATTATATAGAGTGATTGATTTTACCGTGACACTTTTACTAATGCATATACCTGTCACGTTTTTAATACTATTCTAAAAGTGTAATCTTACATCATGTGTGTATACTCACAAATCAGGAAAATATGTTTATTAAAATATCACTTTAAGACAAACAAGATATATATATATATATATATATATATATATATATATATATATATATATATATATATATATATCTTATTTGTCTTAAAGTGATATTTTAATATATATATATATATATATATATATATATATATATATATATATATATATACCTGTAGCAAAAGAAAATTGTCCAAACCGCGTAAAGCATAGTTGTCCATTCCACAAAATGTTTAATATCTAAAAAAAAAAAAAAAACACTAGTTGAGTTTCTTTTTTTCCAGGTTTTCAGATAAAACGTTTAGCCACCTTGATACTATTTGTCGTAAGAATCACTGAAAGACTTTGAGTTATTCAGCTAGAAAGAGAAAAAGTTAAAATCATTTTGTTCCACCCCACTCCCGCTATCTTCCCAAATGAAAAATGGTGAGAGGAAAACGATCATTCAGGCCTACAGTAATGGTACCAACATTCATGCACCGGCTTCCATCTTCAAAATCCATCCATGAACAATTAAGATAACGGTGAATAATTTAAAAAAAAGAGGGAACAGTAGAGAGGAAAACTTGATCAGGAGTTAACAAGAGGAACCAAGATCATCATTTCAACTTAGAGCTAAAGAGATCAATTAGAAAAGATCCAACTCAATCTGTAAGACATTTGGCACATGAGAAATGAGTTTCACCTATGACAGTCCAAAGAGCAATGAAAAAAAACCCTGAAAATTAGATCGTACGTGAAAACTGTGAGGCACATTGTTAATGGATGACAGAAAGTTAGAAGGTTAGAGAGGGTGAAGATCATCTTCAATAAGTTGGAAAATGATACTAGAGAATAATATATATATATATATATATATATATATATATATATGAAATTTGAACTTCATTTCAATCCTTCAAGAGCTTCCGATCCTTAGCTATGATTAATGATGAACATGTTATTTTCGTTTATGATCAATTTCATCAGGATTCTTCTGTTAAGCTTGGAAAATATTTATGCATGCTTAGCGCTCAAATTAGAGTCCGATAGCGTCATAAAAACATCAGAGAATTCCAGTAAGATTTGATTAATCATTTCTAAGATACAATGGTTCAAAGCTTAATCTAACCATTTTGCTTTTACACGATTTGGATAATTTTGCAGTTACACTCCTTCTCTCTCTCTCTCTCCTTCTCTCTCTCTCTCTCTCTCTCTATCTATCTATCTATATATATATCTATATCTATATCTATATATATATATATATATATATATGCTAGACTCTTCTCTTGTTTTCGACATATGTGAGTGCAGCAGCTCAGTTCAGAGAATCGAAGATCCAAACTATATATATATATATATATATATATATATATATATATATATGTGTATTTGGGCAGCAATCCCACATTTATACAAGTTTCATTAAATTTTGCATATCCGAGCGTTTTCAGTTATACTTTTAGCCATTATCAAGATGAATTTTATTTTTACTTTTAGCTGAATCATATAAATCATAAGTTGCTTTTTTTGATTTTGTCGACTGTACAGTATAGTAGGGTCAATTGTGTATCTTCTGTGAGAAAAAGAGCACCATGACGCAATTCACTCCGTCAGAAATTTAGAAATGGGATGCTGTACTGCTTGGCATTCGCACCTGAATCTCTAATACGGACATTTCAGAGTGCTTAAGTGTCAATCTGATGACAGTGCAGAGGATTTGCAAAGAGTCGGATGAGTCTAATGGTGATTACGAAGAAGTTCGGAGTGATGGATAATGATGACGTCGTTATGCCCTCATTCATCTTCCCACAGGGCCTCAGGCACAACACGGTGACCTAGATAAGTTATACTCAGGAGGTAGTGCTACCCTGGGTGAGGATGGCTGCTGGGAGATTCTATGTCTGGCAACAGGACTCTGCACCATACCACACAAGCAGGAGAACCTAGTTATGGCTGTCAGACAATTTCTGCGACCACATCACCCCTTACATTTGGCCACCTAACTCTCCAGATTGCAACCCCCTTGATTATTATGTGTAGAACGCAGTTGAGCGAGAGACCAACAAAACTTCTTGTAACACCAAAGATGATTTTAAGGCAAGGATTATGGCAGCATTCATCAACTTAAACAAGGAGATAATCCAGAAGAGATTCCGAAATCGTCTGGAGGCCGTGGTTGAAGCCGATGGCAATTTTACTGAAGAAATTTACTCTTTAGTATTTGTAGATACTTTTGTGTAATTTTGGTAAATATGTCTGTTAAAATGAGATGTCAGTGTTATTTTCATTTTTGCTCAATTTCGACGACAATTTATCGATCGCGCTATTTATATGGAAATGTGTGCAAACGTATTCATAAATAAATATATATTCATATATATATATATATATATATATATATATATATATATATATATATATATATATTTTTATATGTGAATATATATTTTTGGATATGTGTAAGAATGTAGGTGTGCGTGTATGCCAAGTGTTTGTGTTGAGACGAACTCATAAATAATAGCTCTTAGCAACCTGTGAAATTGAGAGAAAACACCTTCCAATAAACATCCATATTTCTTCTCGTCTGCTGCGGTCACAGGGGCAGGTAACTCTTGTATTCTCCTACCTCCTACCTTTGCCACTTTTAAACCATGTTCTAGCTTCAAGTTAATTAATAATTCTATCATTGAAACCTCTTGCTGGCTTGTGAACCTTTTGAATCAATATGCCTTTCAAATCTAAGTGATCTTCATTATTCCATCAGCCGTTCCAAAGGTGGACACTGGTTTGAATATGAAATGATGCCTTGTCAACAGAAGGTTGAAAGGCGTCGGCTGCATTGAAGAGAATTGTGCCTGGGTTATAGAATTGTAGAGGGAAGGCGTGCGAGGCGAACGGAAGTATGTAGGATGATGGGAAGGTTGAAAGAGAAGTGAAATATAAGGAGAGAAGGAAAGAATGAAGTCTACAAAGGATGAAAGAGAAAGGAAAAAAAAGGAGGAAAGAATGAAGCAATAATGAAATGAGAATGGTAAGTTAGGGAAAAAACAACTATATAGAATGGAGTCAAAAATCAACAAATTCCCTGAAGAAAAATGGAAAATATATTTTAAAATCGAAATGATGATAAACAAAAACAAATTAGACATTAATATATAAATCAATGAGAGACAAAACAGATTGCAAAATAATAATGTAGAGAAAAATTTCTCTGAAAGAGTAGATTATGCATAACATCAGTTATGTGCCATGCGTGATACACGCTTAGGCGATCATGTATCTTTCAATACATGACTGACGAGGCAGATTTTTTCCCGTAGTAGGTTGCCATTTCTTACTGCGGTAGACTAGTTGCCATCCAAAGCTATAGAACCCGGTCTGTCCTTCTATTTATCTATAGCTGGGAGGAGAAGAAGAGGATTCATACCTTTCCGAAGAGTATTAGCACGTAAGTGATTTTAATGGATTCGACTGGAATTCGAACTCGGCTCTCCGATTCCTCAATCCGAACCGCTATCCACCGTGCCTAGAGAAGGGAAAAATTTATAATTATTTTTAAGGAAAATAAACTCCAGTCGCGTTTTGTTATATTCATATGAATCCATGAATGTTCACTTTGACGTTGTGTAATGGTTAGCAAGTGTGTCTCGCTAGATGAATTAACGCTGAATAATGACTACGATCCTCACTGGGTGTCCTATAATTTCGGCCTGGAGTCACATTTAAGCTACGTTTAGAATTAACCATATGGATCCATGAATACACTCTATAGGTAGGACAGACTGCGCCCTACAGCTTTGGCTAACAACCGGCCTAGGAGAAAAAAAAACTCTGAATTAAAATCGTATGTTGCACATACTATGCAATTAATGAAAGGATCGGGAAGTTTTCAATGACTCTGGGATCCTGGTGGCATTTGTCTTTTTGTATCAAATCAGTCTCCATTTGATTCTGAAGTTTCTTTTTTTCATGAAAATCTCCAGTTTGGTACATTTGGAATTGAAATGTACGTTTCCAAAAATAGTGTGATGGAGCCAAAAAAAAAAAATTGATAAATTTGAGTTCTTGATAATGACTGAAGTAATCGTAAGTCGATCGTAGTTGAGATCATCGAGTCAATATTAACGATCCTTTCCTTAGCTGCATGGTAAGTCCTTTGCCAGAGCTACATACAGTTTTGAATTCAGAGATTTACTTTTCCTTTCCGCCACCCATGGCTATAGAACCCAGCCTGTCCGGCTATTTACTCATTGCTGGAGGTGAGAAAAGATGGATTCATACCTTTCCCAAGTGTATCAGAATGTAAGTAAATGTAGTGAACTCGACTGCAATTCGAACTCGCCTCCCTGATTTCTAAATCCGAGCAGCACTTCATTATTCCACCGTCTCTTCACTACAAAATCAGAAAAAAAAAAAGAACATGAAATTTAAATGTTTTATTCACAATTTTCATTTGGAGTTAAAACAACTTATTACAAAAATATAATAAAAAAAAATCAAACAAATAAGCCTTATCGAAAATCTTGTTGAAAAGTTCCCAGCCCGATCAAGAAAAACTTCCATAAAAATTTCTAGTTCTGGTTCATTTGATGATGAGATTTTTGTAAGCTGATCGTAAAATAACTTTTAGAACTCTTTTCTTATATATATATATATATATATATATATATATATATATATATATATATATATATATATATATATATATATATATATATATATATAGGTATGCTATACCTATGGGAAAAAGTGCTCAATATCCAAGTTTGGTGACTTTGTGGCACACTATGTGAACCAGTTCTCTGTATCCGGGTTTATATAAGAGTAAACACTAAGGTCAACACAACACTGAGTGGCGACAGTCTGTTTCAGGTTGAATGCAATCTTCAGTCCATCAAATAGCAAAAAAAAGTTGTGTATCGTTTATGGGGATGGTTCCGTAGCTGAGCGTACTGATTGTTAGTAGTTTTCTAAGTTTAGAAATGGAAATTTTTGATCTGGACACTACGAACTTTTATTACAAACGAATATATAGATATTTTAAAGTAAAAAAATAACATGTGCCGTCTCTTTCAAATACGTATATCCACTAATAATACCGTTTGAAATAATATATGTGTGTGTGTGTGTGTTTTGCGCGTGCGAATGCGCAGTGGTGTAATGGAAAGTGGTTCGTTTTGAGAAATCGGAGAGGAGAGTTCGAATTCTAGTCAAGTTCGTTACATTCACTTACGTTCAAATACCCTTGGAAAAAAATTATGAATCCATCTGGTCCCTATAGCCTTCGGTTTCAACCGGTCTAGGAGAAGGACACTTCAAAAACTACAAAACCGGAGGAGGGTCGTTTGAGGACCTTGTCTCACACTATATGCACCAGTATTCAGCTTTTCCAAAAAGTGTGGCTGGTTCCGCACAAGTCTTCACCACTATAATGAAATCATATGTGCGAGTAGACTTTTCGGTTCTAAGAACGGAGTTGCTGTACTCTTATACATCGAAAACTACGAAGGAGCCCAGTAGTATATATATATATATATATATATATATATAAATATATATATATATTTATGATGGAAATTATTAGGAGGATTTGAGAAAGTAAGTAATTAATCGAGTCTAGAAGACACCTCAACAGAATGCAGAAAGCACTAGATGGCCGTTTCGTCCTATATTTGGGACTCATCAACAGTGCGCATCCTCTACTGAGAATTGAAACCCGGACATGTTATCAGCCAAACGTCATACTAACTGTACCACCGGGCCGCGGTGACGATGAGGTAGCGAATTAGACTCGATATAGCGCCGCACGATCACATATTCCGTGGTGGAACTCATCCGAGTTTCCTTTACCCATAGAACTGTGCCCCCCCCACAAGACGCGACTACTATCCCCAAGCCGCTCCATGCAGAGCATTAGAAGCCGGTTCAAGCAAGGATATACAATTGATAGAAATTATTAGGAGGATTTGAGATAATTAAGTAATTCATCGAGTCTAGAAGAAACCTCAACAGAATGCAGAAAGCACTGGACGGCTGTTTCGTCCTATATTTGGGACTCATCAGCAGTGCGCATTCACTACCATATATATATATATATATATATATATATATATATATATATATATATATATTTTCTTTAATTGGAATTAAGATACCTTTTAATTAATGGCCGTTTTCACTTAGGAATTTTAATTTTAAAATTCACTGCATTTTACAAACTGTTTAGAGTGGGAAACTGTTATTTGTTTTTGATCTCATAACAATGTCAAATGTGATAAAAAAAATAACCAAATAATAATTGAAATTAAATAATCATATTTATAGTTATTTTTACTTCTTATTACCCAAACTATCTCGGATATATGTCACTGGTTTGTAACCTTGTCCTGATCTACTGTATGGGTGTGACCCTGGGAATACCCTGCGAAACAAATTTTGGGGACAGGCGCTATTTTTGTCCCTATGATATCCTTGTGTCCAGAATTGATTGTCAAACTTAAGATGACGATAACGACGAGAGAGAAAAAAAAAAAACAAAAAACAAAAAACGAATACTGTTGGCTCCAAGAATAATAGTGTAGAACCATTCCCCATCAATGAGAAAAGTTAATTATTCCAGGATTTTAATATTCATGTTGAGTATCTTGTTTAAGCGAATGCCACTTGCTACATTGATCAACTGACAGGTGATATAGCAGTAATGCCAGACATTTACGTTTTAATATATGTAAGAATTCATATCCAATTAGCACGAGCGTGGATTGGCACTTTACCATAAGTATATAAAACCAAACAAAGACAAGGACGAGAGAGATAGGACACAAGAGATTTCTATACGAGAATTTAATTAGCGTCGACACACACATTCCTCTATTTACTTCATTCGATTTATAGAGCATTAACTCTCTAGCGTTGTTTATAAAACTTTGTTTCGTTTCGGCACAAAGATATGAGGATGAGATCAGTAATTGTAATAATCAAGTCAACTTGATAACTATTGCCCCACAACAAGGCGATATCTATCTATCTATCTATCTATCTATCTATCTATCTATCTATCTATCTATCTATCTCATTCTTTTCATCTATCTATCTATCTATCTATCTATCTATCTATCTATCTATCTATCTATCTATCTATCCTTTTCATTCTTTTCATCTATCTATCTATCTATCTATCTATCTATCTATCTATCTATCTATCTTTTTCATTCTTTTCATCTATCTATCTATCTATCTATCTATCTTTTTCATTCTTTTCATCTATCTATCTATCTATCTTTTTCATTCTTTTCATCTATCTATCTATCTATCTATCTATCTATCTATTTCATTCTTTTTCATTCTTTTCATCTATCTATCTATCTATCTATCTATCTATCTATCTATCTATCTATCTATCTATCTATTTCATTCTTTTTCATTCTTTTCATCTATCTATCTATCTATCTATCTATCTATCTATCTATCTATCTATCTATCTATCTATCTATCTATCTATGTCTCTCAAATCTATTTACCTCAATCTTTTCAAATCTCTCTCTGTCTCTCTCTCTCTGTCTCTGTCTGTCTGTCTGTCTCTCTCGCTCTCTCTCTCTCTCTGTATATATATATATATATATATATATATATATATATATATATATATATATATATAAAATAAAGACAAAAGGAAACCTAATCTATCTATCTGCTTGTGGCATTCTCGTTTTTGTTTCTGATATAATTTCTCTTAAGATTTGCTATGACAGCTTCGGCTTGAAGAACAATGAGAATTTTGCAGCGAACAAGATTTTGTGATAAAACAAAAACAAAAGAAAGCAAAAACAATAAAAACCAACAAGAACCCTACATTGAAAAAATCCCTGAAAAAGAATTAGCGGATTAAATTAAAAATAAAAACCCTCAAAAACGTACAAAGCAGAACAGATATTCTCTGAAAAGATTTACAGCACTCGGGCGTGGAATAATGGTTAGCGCGGCTAGTTTCATTGACCACGAGTGGCGAGCTCGATCCTCACTCAGAACGCCTTAAAAGTAATTTGGTATTAAATAACCTAACATAGGTTGACATGTCGTAAACAGATGAGAGTAAAAACCCGAAAGGTTGTAACTTTATCAAAGGTCATAAATGCTTCATTATTTGATAATTATCTTTGACACGTTTCTTCCCCATCTTTTTCTTTTAATTTTAGCTTTTCATCAGAATATTTTCAGCCAATCCCTTTTTGTGTTGTTAAACTGAATCGGAATAAAGAATTTCTGAACTTCGTCTTAATTGAAACATCTCTATACTCAGTTTTGCCTATGAAGCTATTCTAAGCACGATAGATCTCTCCCCCCCGTCTCTGTTTCTTTCTCTCTCTCTATATATATATATATTAGGTTGGTGCAAACATAATGACGTAATAATGTCGTTTTTGACGTTAAAAATACGTCAAAAAAACGACATTATTACGTCATTATTTTGCACCAACCTAATATATATATATATATATATATATATATATATATATATATATAGTTGGTGCAAACATAATGACGTAATAATGTCGTTTTTGACGTTAAAAAATACGTCAAAAACGACATTATTACGTCATTATTTTTTTGCACCAACCTAATATATATATATATATATATATAAAGATATATATATATAAAGTGCATTATATTTATATTTAGATACGTTCTATATTTAATATTGAGAGTCTTTAGCCACATAAATTTAGCATACCTTAAAACAATATTTTCATCATATACATCAGTTAAAGATCAAATATGGATCGGAATCCGAGAGGATTATAAAATAAAGAACAAATAAAAAACGTATATCAATCTAACATGTTTCATATTTAATAAAGCTTTTATCAGAGATTTGAGAAAACAGACAAAAAGACAGAACTTTTAATTTTGTTTGCATCAATTCTCATTGGTCAGTCACGTATCACGTTCATTAAAACCGTAGATAATTATATATATATATATATATATATATATATATATATATATATATATATATGTATGTTTGTCGAAACAAATAGTGGGTAAAAAATACTTGGGATATAGCCATATATGCAGTTTTCTACCACCATCTTGAGGTTTTGATTTTTATTGCTGATTACCTTGTAGTTATAGTAGTAGTAATGATAATAGTAGTAATAGTAGTAATACATTCACGTTTTTAGAGTCACGCTGTATCGCTGACCACCTAGAAGTTATAGTAGTAATAGTAATAGCAGTAACCGTAATAGTAATATACACGTTTTCAGATTCTGAAACCAACTTTATTCATTTTTGCTTATAATGTATTATTTATTTTGATCAGTAGAATTTTGTAGTTTGTTAATCGCAATAATTTAAGTCACCCTATTCGGCATATTATGACCACATCCTACTGACGTTAGTTTAAACTGACGACATCTTTCTTTCATATATTGTGACCATTTTGATTAAAGTTAGTGTTTCCTTGATTTCAGATGAAATCTTGGAAAAATTCCAACACATTTTTACTGAAATTTTCTCTTTAACAAATTATAATTTAGATATATGGATATATATTTAGATATATGGAAAAAAGAAGACGTCAGTTTAAATTGACGCCAGGTGAATATGGCGTAAAAAAATCTTTGTCATAATCAGCAACAGACGAGATGAAGAAGCTCGTTAAACTAATAAAAAAATATGTGTAAGTACCGTATATGTCGGCGTACAAGGCGACCTTTTATCCTTAAAAAATCCTTACTAAAATAAGGGGCCGTCCTATACTCCAGGTATAAAATGTGTGCCTAAAATTCTGTGGTTTATGGTAAGTTGTTAGCATCGGAGATTTTTGACGGTAGCCTTTGTAACTACCCATATAAATATTTTCTACTGAAACGATTTAATCCACATTAGTTGCTTGATATTATTTCGCCTCATTTTTTCGATGATTTTGAACAAAAACACTAGATGTGTGCCTCAATAAGCCGTTTTCAGATCGCATTCGAGAACAGTAGAACGCGTGGATCGTTAGCGGGGAAAAGTCATTCAGGCTACCGTAATTCTTCTTTTATGTGCCGTGTCCCTTCAGGACGTAGGCGATTATGGCACTCCACTTCCCCCATCCCTTGTAGTTCCCAATATGTTTTTGTGTTTTTGCTACTTCTCCTAGACACTCTTCTGTCATCCACTTGCTTAAGCCCCCTAGGTATGTCACGTGTTGCTTTCCCTCTGTGAGTATCAGATTCTCCAAGCCCTTCTTTCTCATTACGTATCCCAGAAATGTCAGCGGCCACTTCCTAGCCTACCGAAAACGCAGCAGCCACTCATGTTGTATTGTAGATTGTGGTAGTTAATTAACAATATCTCCCGACCGCTTTTTTACATTAGAATTTCAGTAAAGAGAAAGTATATGCTTACTGAATTTATTTAATAAATAAAATACATTTTAAAATACGATTTTGGGAGGGAGGTCGTCTTGTACGACGAACATAGCCCGAAACCTACATTTTAACTTGAAAATCAGAAGGTCGTCTTATATGCCCAAGTCGCCTTGTACGCCAGTCTTTACGGTAATGAAAACAATATTTAATCCTGGAAGCTGAAAACACAAGTTGGAGGAATTAATAAATATTTTACGACTGTGTACCCGGCAGAATATACCACGCCTTTTCAGCGATTGCCGACGTGACATCAACATAGCGACAAGCAGCTATGGGCTTAGCAGCAGCTGCTTTTCAAACAACAGGTAGCGAAGCAAATAACTTTTTCAGCATGAGAGACAGGAATCACTTCGCTATCGGGTTTCTCATAAATCCGATAATGGAAGAGCTTTGTGTAAAGAATTTTTAAAGATGGCTTCTTGGACGTTTTCTCGACATCCGGGTAATTGGTTTTCAAATCTCTTTTGTGAGGCAACAAAATTTGTTTTTCACACACACACACACACACACACACACACACACACACACACACACACACACACACACACACACACACAAATATATATATATGTGACAAAAGTTAGCATCCACTATATACATCTATTAAGATATGTAAATATAAATCTGCTAGCTTTTGTTAAATTCATGTGTTGATAAAAAACAAAAATATTTATGTTGACGCACACACACACAAACACACAGACACACACATATATATATGAATGTATTTTAAATTATATATATATATATATTGCACATCTATTTATCTATTTTTAAATGTAAGATGTTGCTCTGAATATGCAAACATATTAATATTACGCAATGTGTTCGATGCATAACACAGCTTTTTGATAAATTCGCTTCAACCAAGGCGACAACGCTACTAAGACATAAGGGAGCTGTTGAAATTGATAGAGAAGGAAAAGACTATCGAAGGATGCCATAATCTAATAATAGTATTAATTTTAGGGTTTAGGCGAATACGTTAGAAGCAGAGTTGAAATAGAATTTAGAAGGAATCAGAAACCAATCCTAAACAGGAAACAAAAGACCAGGAAGGAGTGTGAAGTGGACGATAGAATTGTAAAATATTTTGTTAAATTCTGATTTCTTATCCATTTGCGACTTTGAATGGATGCTTAAGAAAGCAGAATTTAACAAAATATTTTATAATCATACATACATACATATTTAGTGCATTGGGGCACCAGATCATTATGTAAACATATATTATTAAATATAACAGACAATGGATGTCTGTTATGTCTGATCAGGAGCCGTTCTAATATTCGAATGTTTGCTTTAATTTCAGGCGAAAATAAAGACAAAAATTGTCTAACATTTGAATATTTTTAAGTTGATCCTAGGCTTTCAGTTCACATGAGCCATCCTCAGTGTATTTATACAGATATGGAACAAAGATATCCACTGTCAAAGATGATATTTTGTTATTTTGACATAGAAAATTGCTATGTGACGATAACGGTCACGGGATGGCTCATGTGAGCCGAAAACTTAGGACCAAATTAATAGAAAATACCCAAATGTTGGACCATTTTTTTCTTTATTTTCCCCCCAAATTAAAGCAAACATTCGAATATTAGAACGGCTCATGATCAGACATAATAGACATTCATTGTCTATTATATTTAATAATATATATATATATATATATTTAATTAATTCATTGAGTCTGATAGAAACCTCAACAGGAATAGAGGAAGCACTGGACGGCCGTTTCGTCCTATAATTGGGACTCATCAGCAGTGCGCATCCACCACCGAGTATCGAAACCTTGGGTTGTCAAGCGAACAACATACCAACTGTACCAAATGGGCCTCGGTAACGAAGAGATTCCAAATCAGACTCAACTTAGCGCCGCTCGCTCACATATTCCGTGGCGGAACTCTACTGAGTTCTCTGTAACCATAGGACTGTGCCCCCGGGAGCCAACTTGTCATTTATATATATATATATATATATATATATATATATATATATATATATATATATATATATATATATATATATAATGTACAGGATAATGAATGGGCTTAACCAGGTATTACAAATCACAGAATCATGATACCAATTAAACAAGGGTTAAGCTTGTTTACGAATAACGTGCCTGAAAGAGTAGGTCACTTGCTGGACAAAAGGAATCGACAGTGACGTCATCAA